TAGCAGCATCGTCCACGGCCCCGGCGGGAACGGATCCGTCTTTGCCGTAGGGGTCGCTCCCGACCTTCGTCCAACTGTGTGAGGAAGCATTCGAAAGTCCGGGTGGAGATGCAGCCAAAGGAATTGTCGGGATAGCCAAGGGGGTAGCTGGTGCCTGCTGAACGGGAAGCACAGGGGCCGGAGTAGGCTGAGCAGGCGGTTGCTGTTGATTCTGCATCATCTGCTCGACCATAGCCCTCAGCTCCCTGATCTGCCTCTCCTGCTCGCTGATCGTGTTCATGGCGTTTTGGTACTTCATCTCGGCTTCTCTTTCTGATTTCATGGTGTTCACACGCTGCTCCGCATTCATTTGAATCTCGCGTCTCATGGCCTCCGATTGGCTTTGAAGTCCGGCAATGATCTCACCATGCCTTGCCTCCGCCATCTGGGCAACCATGGGACCGGTGTCCTGATTCACGAACTGGCATTGTTCTGAGTAGCGTTGACCTGCTGATAGTTCGTCACGTCCTGGTTGATCGTCATCGAAGGATCGAGGTGGACGTTTGCAACATGTTGATTGAACTGATTCATGGACTGTGGCATAGGGTTTCCCCTTGCGAGATCGGTCTGGGGGTCGTACATGACGATGTCACCATGCAGATGCCGATCTGATCCAACAGGTGAAGGAGATCGAGCACCAGACCGCCCAGTCCTCCCACGGTCACTTCGAGATCGAAGCGATTCGGGGCCCTGACTGCTCAGCGCCTGTCCCTTCTTGATGAGCTCCCTGGCCACTTGGGAATTCGCGCGACTAGTCGGCTCGTATTGCGAGGCGTCTTCATCGCCTGCAGGCTCATCAGTTATGGGACGCACCTCAGTATGGGGTAGTCCAGGATCGCCATCCATGGCGTACAACTCTGTACAGAGAGCCGCTTACGGCTGATAACCTATAGAACAGGTTAAACAACCGGGAAGGGTCACCAATGAACCCTGTCCGCAGCGCGCTTTTTACTTGAGCCATACGCAGTCGTAATGATGAGACTGCGCAAGTGAGACATTCATGCATTGGGGTTTTACATGGTTGATAAATACATCACGTTGCAAACTACAACCAGCCACAAAATTAAAGAATTTTGGCTGGTGCCAGCCTAATTTTGTGGCTGGTGACCCGCCTAAAATTTGAGATGGTGGTGCTTTAACATGTTAAAAGCCGCCAGCCAAAATTCAAGGCTGCCAGCCAGAACTCTTTGCTGGCAGAACTGGTGGTTGGTGCCAACTTAAAATCTTGGCTGGTTGGAGTCCCAGGGTACATAGCCATGGACCGACTCTCGCTTCTACTTAAAATTACTTCGACTACCCCTTTTGAATCTTTTGGGAACATCTTCTGCATGACAGTCTGCACATGTCTCAAACAATGGTTTGATACATTTCTGCAGCCATTTCTTGTTTACATCAGTTTGGTCTGGAGGTACATCGGCTTGTGCAAACCGCAATGGACATGCAGCCAAGCACATCTCTGCCGATGATCACACAGGCTCGCAAGCCTGAGAGATACAACGACCGGATGACCACATCGGTGGCAGACATCGGCTTTGTTCGGGTAAGGACACAGACCACGGCATTACAGCTTGGCGCAACCTCACGTTGGCCAACAACAGCAATGTGCCCTACATTGCCCTCACCGCTGAGGAGTGCATTTCGTTTGTGAGATCAAGTACATCCCGGGCAACCTTCGCTACCCGGCTTTTGACTTTACAGTGCTTACAACTAACCCACATGCTGCGGTTATGACTACACTATTCTTGATGAGCTCTGGGAATGTGGCTACAGCCAATACAACAGATCTCTATGGCGCTGTGACCTGACCAAGCTCCTCGACCTTACATCCCGCTCCAGAGTGAATTCATTCAACCGAGGCCACATGCTGCAACAGGTCCAGATCTACAACAACACCACATGGCCTTTGAGTACAATGGAAAAGGACAGCCTCATGGCATGGCGCCTCACACATGGCACATGCATTTTCAACATCTACAACCAGTACAGCGCGTCAGGATTCCAAGCATACATCCTGCTGGCTCGTGCGTACAGAGATGATCGAACTCTGAGGTGGTATCCGCGACGGATCCCAGGATCTTGGCAGACCCGAGTGCGTGCATGGCTGCGCAAATTGCAATGGGTCGAGCAGAGCCCCTGGACATGGACGCACCCACGTGTTGTTCATACAGTAGACTGGAATGCAGCCGCATGGAATGCCGGGCGAGACGCCCATGAAATTCGCGAAACTTGGCGGTGGTGTCTCTTCGAGAAATGGCAAGGGGGGCAACGGAGAGACAGTGTGATTTGTCAAGGTGTGCAGTATAGCACTGAACGATGCCGCTTAGCTCGGCAGTTGTATCAAAACGGAAATGCGCATGATCGCGCGATTCTATCTGGAGCAGCTGTCAGCAATGCCAGATATGCAGTTATGCTGCGGACCCAAGTCGCGGGATGCCAGGGGTGCCACACATCGGATGCACCAACGTGGCATCATCTCGCATGGCAGTGCCCCGCGTTTCAGCCAAACCGGCCCAACATGCCGGAATGCCCTATGCATCACAGGATGGATATGAGGCTTTGGAAGGGAATGATTGCTTTGGCCCGAGTTGCTGGGCCTCATTTGATATTCCAACCTGCATGAAACATTCGCTTCACCACAACAGTGGTTGACATCGTTTGCGCTTTCCTTTTGCGTCCCACATTTGGTATCATTGCTGTCTGTGGTTAAATCCGGCCATGATCTGGGTTTTGAGCACGGGGTTCTTGGTATTTGAAGTTGCCAAGCCGTCAATTGCTTGGCAGAGTGAAAGCCGTGTTGCGTCACTGCAGGTATGTTGCAGTTGCGCCTTGCAGCATTTTGATTGCATCACATCCCCTTTTGCACACACGAGCGTGTGGCTTGTCGGTGCGATTCTTTTACGTGGAAAGATGTGTCGTTTGTCGGTTCATCCGACAGACCAAGGGTAACCGCCCGGGACACAAGTTTCCCTGCCACTCTTCGGTGTAATTTTTGGGATCACAGCAAATCCCAGCACGAGTTGTTCGCATGGTAGCACGCAACGACTAGGAGGTGTGCACTTGTTGAACTCGCCGGCTCATCCGGCGAGAATGGAGAAGAGAAATGCATCGTTGCATGCACCAGCCTTTGCGTGAACATTTGTCCGGACTGTCGGTTCATCCGACTGGTTTTAAAAAAATACGACGCATTTCACAGATGCGGACAAACATGTCCACACTGAAATAAGCAAGCAGACGGCATGTCGGAGGTTTGCTCAAGGCAACCGGGCAGAGCCTGCTCTGTGTGTCCCACTCGTTAACGTTGCATGACCCCGGGCTGTCGATTCGCTCGACACCGTGTTTGCATTGCATTCCGCATATTCGCATGGGTTTGCACCTTGCTTCACTTGCATTGACGCAGCGACCAACATGTGCCGCACTGCACTCCGCAGCTTGCACTTTTGCCTTGGTTCACATTATGCATTGCTCGCATTGCCGCGACCGACCAGTGTAGCACTGAATTCAACTCTGTGGCGTGTCCTTGCCGACACGCTCGCCGCCGTTGGCTGGCGTCATGACAGGATGGCATGGGCTTCGTTGGTGGCGCCCATGCCAGTTCAAATATTACACAACCAGTACAGCTGGGAGTTAGGGTTCCTGCACTCGTACAACGTCGTTCTCCGGGTAAACAACAATACCACAGCCGAAGACCACGATACAATTTTCGCTGGACTTGCCCAAGCCCGAGAAAATATAGGACTCATGGCACACAGCCACATGAGCTCACAGCGATCCACAGCAGAGATTACAAGGTGCGTCGGGCTACAAGGCTGCAACTACAGCGGTGAAGCCTCTGGAACAATTGAGAGGACAGCGAACACGCAGCCTTCCGCACAAACTGGAACAGCGTGATGTACCCCGAGTACATTGACAAGATCAATGAGTACAGAAAAAGCCTCAACAAGTCAGACACGCCTGCAGCTGACTTGGAGGAGGACAAGAAGCGCAAAAGGACCAAGTAGACAACATGGTCTACATCAGCCATTATTTTGGCACACCGGATTTTGGCACAATGGTGCAGCTACATCTTTCAGACATCCGGCCACATGAATGCAGTTTGTACAGATGTTCGACCCACTAGAAGCATAGATGTACAAAGTGAAACAGACAGTAGAGCTGATAACAACTTTTACATCACTTCGCCCAACTGTTTGGCTTGCTGTAGAACTACGTCAATCCAAGGGTGGGTGTTAACATACATTCACCTTCTACATGGCACTGCTTCTTTGTACATCAAGGCCTTGAGCCTACAGATGGACTACAGCCCTCGCCCCTGAGTACAACAGGCGCCGCGCTGACACACACAGGTTTACACAGTCACTTGCACTTTAACAGGAGAATACATATATATATATATATATATGCGCATATGTATGTACATGTTGTTGTGCAGGCAGGTAATTTAAAGAAATTATGCACACATGTGCTTAAAGCCAACCTGGCAATATTCATCCCTCGCTGGTCAAATAATTTGCACATGTAACTTGTCTGTTCAATATGTGTGGCCCTGGCTTCCATCAGAACATGTAGCACCACACATGTTCAATCACAAACTCACCAACTGGTGAGCCATTGAAAGGTCCGTGACCGGCCCGCACCACCAAGCACGCTGGGAAGCAGAAGGGTTGACCTGCATTCGCACTAATGGACGATCATGCCACCAATTACGTACATTCTTTCAAGCAACATCCCTGACATGCCCAAAGCACCGATGCTGCGCACATTGAGGGTCGTTTAGGACCCGCCTTGAGGTTGGCTTCCAAAAAGAGAAAAACAACATTTTGGGGCCCCTCATTCACTTGCGCAGTACTGTACCATTGCTGATGATTGAAGAAATTGGAGAAAATCCCGACTAATTCCATGACATGGTGTTGAACGAACATAGGCGCAGGTCTTGTGCCAAAGGCCATCCCCTCAAGCTGGTCCTCCATGAGGGCATCAGGCGCCTTGGCCTTCACCTCACGTGAACCCAGCGAGGAACGGCTGTGGGTCAAAAAATGGTACCCTACATGGAGCCCTGGTAAATGGAACCAAGGACTAAAACCTGCGGTCCCCTGGTGGTGTGATTTTGACCCATACCCAGTTGGCAACTGCTCACATGGCACTCTTTCGCAATGGGAAAGCCTGCCAACCGCGAGGGGACAGAACATAACATCAAACATATTTGGTCAAAGCATCCAAAAGTACATGGCACATCGGCGGGCATTGCGGAACTCACGAAATGTCCCAGAAAATCACAAGACCGAATCCAATTTGCACCTTGCTACACGCACATCCATAGACTGGACCAAAAACCACAAGTTTCTCGCTGGCGCAACGTGCTTGTGCGGCATCTTAACTTCCGGACTTGCCAAGAAGCTTGCGCGAGGCAGGACTGCATATCGTCACGGTCTTGGTTTCCAAACTTCCTCGGACCCAAATCCCTGCAAAAGCGATGATCAAGATATAGTGAGCAGCAATCAGTTCAGTTTGCATACGTTAGTATACTGAACCAATTAAAGTTGCAGCCAGCACATATTCGGCAATTTGCCAGGAAATGGGTGGGACATCCATATGCTAACTGCCACCTGATTGTTACTCCCCATAAGCCGCTTCCCCCCAATGTTCACACGGCCGTCAGCCCTCGGGCGCAGTTCCAAAGCAACTCTTGATTCCTGCACATCAGACCTGTCAAAATCTTCGGCAAGACCTGCCCAGACTTCCACACCTGCGTTCAGCTTTGGATCCGTCAAGCCATGCGCGATGTCCAATGTATGGCGAACCCCAAAGGAGGATAAACACAAACGCAGAAGTCACGTCCTGAGTGGATTTGCCAACACAACTTTTTCATCTACCACTAAAATGGTCCAGCCCCAAAAAGCTGGAACTCACAAAGTGAGCTTCGCTTGGCCTGACACCTTGCTCCCGCAAAGATTGCTCGACATGTCCAATAGCTGAAGAACACTGACGACTCCATGCCGTTTGGGACGGATTTGCGTCACCCAAAAAAGCACTGCACGGCTGAAATGCAGCCTGATCTGCATTTTCACCAGCCAGAGCAGGTAAGTTTCCTGGCAAAGCAGCAATCGAAATCTTGAGTTGCAACACCGGCAAGTTATGAAGCGCTGGCCCAGGAACAAAAGCCCCACTCCATCAGCAATGCCACTCTATTGCTTGAATCGTTTTAGCCACAACTGTTCTCACTCAACCCCAGCTGCAACTTTGAGGGCCACGCCTCCCCAAAAGGAGGCTTTGCGATTTGAAGCCATGCCTAGTTGGTTGGGTGGCAAGACAGCAGGAGTAAACCGAATTGTCGCTCAAGTTCATTCAGCCGTGAAACAAACCCATGGCGCACTGGGAGTTCACCTAGGGGCTCATGGCGCTAGTTCAAGCATACAAATCTCACTCTCAACAGATCACCTGTCTGGGGCACAAACGCACTGCGAATGTGCCGGCGGCTCTTCCCAAGGGCCTCTGGTGCCGTCCATGCTTTCCAGCTTTGTCAAGCATCCCTCGTCGGTGCCTCAGCCTCCCTCAAATAGGTGGTCTCGATTGGTTGGAGGTGTTTGCAGAATCGTTTCCCTTTGCTCCCTACAAGAAACGCGAGGTCAAAATCAAAGCACAAATTCAAATAATCAAACCAGGCTAACCTGAATACCCGTTCCTCTACAACACATCCCGGTGCGCAGCTCCAACAACCCCGCGCCTTCTTAGTCCAGGCTTCGTCTCTGAAGAAGTTGACGATATCATCCTTTCGATCCGGATTTCGTTTAGGGCAACAGCCCCCGACCAATGAACAATAGAATCTGCTCCGTGTTGTGTCCGCCCGAAATTACGGGAAGAGCGGCCAATCCCAAAAAGGAGTTATATACTTGATGCCTGCCGCTCCGGCCGCCACCGCAAAAAGAACATGATCTCGGCGCGACCCGACGAGTTCCTGCTACAAAAGTGATACCGCTGCCCTAACCGTTTCCAGTGTCTCTGGCAGCATCTTCCCTCAATCGCACGCAGCCCAGAAACTGAGAATCTAGGAAAGTGGGGGGGGCTTGTTTTGCCTATTCGGGGAGCTCGATGCATTCCGGCGCGCGACGCCATCTAAAATAAGGCCGAACTTCGAAAAGAGACCCTATGCCTCACGACGCCACTCCTCGTGGATTTGGGCTTAAACAGGCCAACATGTTGGCTTACCTCCGGAAATTCTCGCAATATGTGTCTAAAGTCCAGCAACTTGTGAAGTGTGATTCTGCTAACCATATATCCATGCTAATGGACTTGGCTGAATTCATTTACCCCGAAACCGTCGCCTTGGTGATGCCGCGCTTGAGCATGTCCAGAAAGCTCTCGGAACGCCCCACCTACAGGAACCCAAGGGGAATGTTTGCATGAGGCTTCGGGAGTCAGGCCGAACCCTCGGGGCATTTCGAGCTCGACAGCACCCGGTCGCTTGTGAGTGACTCAACGACTCAACGACTCAACGACACGATGCCTTTGATTGTGCACGACAACGGCTTCGCAACGAGAAACCACCGTGGCCCTTGCTTGTGTTTGTGGTTTCCTTTTGTTTGCTGTCTGTAGACGCAGGTTTGTCAGCCACCGCTTCCATTAAGAGCAGAGGAACCAGACACTATCCTTATATATAAGCAAGCTGAAGCTCCTGTGTTGCAAGTTCCCGCCACCTCCGCCCGACGTTGGGCCTGTCACCGTGTTGGCTGGCTTCACAAACCCGGCCGAGTGAAACAGTGCTGAATCACACAAGCCAACACACATGTGAACTGGAAAAAAACACCGCAACATCCGCACCAAGCTTGATCTGAGAAATGCAAATGACCCCAATGAAAACACAAAAACTACGGCTAGCCTTTATCCCAAACTTTCGCAGCTGGACGCAAGTGCTTTCGGGGCCACACAATTTGCTTCTAAGACTAAGTTGCCAAAGGTGATCACCTTGTGGGGCCATGGCTTAAAAACAAGCTGCCAAAAGGGGGAACCAAAAGATCAGATCCGGTCGATGCGCCGAGAGAAGAGGGAAAAAGACTTGGCATGACTGAAGGATTGCGGGCCTTTGGCTGACTGCTCACATCCGTCTCGTCCATGGACAGCTGCCCCGGCTCTGTTTGCATCAACCTTAGCGAAATCCGACAAGCTTAGGTGTCCTTTGAGAAAATTAGATGGCCCTGGTAAGTGGAATGAGACCCATCTAAAACAGGGCCATCTATGCTCAGCCAAACTAACCTAAACAGGACACCTATGCCCACAAGCCTTTCCTTGTCGGAGCTGCGCGGTTTGCTAAAGGAGCCAATTTGGGCCAAGCTTCAACTTCGGCTTGAATAGCCTTTGCTTCCTTCTCTGGCAACTTGGATGACTGCGGATCATGGCAGGCCCAACTGAAAAGCAGCTGCGCCAGTTCACAGCCATGATCATTCAGGGTATACCTCTTTGGCATCTTCACCACGCCATTCAAAGACATGGCCAGATGGCCTGCACATTTCATGGCATACCTCCAAGAAATTCCCTATGACTTTTTAAGTTGTCCAAGAGTGTTTCTAAAACATAGAACACCAGCGCCCTGCATTCAGCAATGCACCTAGAAACGCAATAGCGAACAGCCTGAACCCTGCGTAAGAAGGCAGCTTAGCACTGCCTTTGAGACTCTTAAGCCACAATCATGAACGTACCAGGCAGCATGCACCCCCTGCATGCTGAACGCCACTCTGACCGCACACCATTGCAAAATGAAGGCATTCGAGTGGTCCATTCTGAAAAGAAGTCAGCAGCACACATCGCAAGGACTACGGGCCGAGCGGCATGCCCAAGCGCCTGCGTCTTGAGGAGGAGTCTTTACAACACCCTTCGTCCTTGGGTCTCGGGTGGCACAAAGCCCTGGCCGGCCAAAGGGCTCGGGATCTGTGTTTGCTGCGTGGGTCAGCTGGAGGCAAATCTGTTTCGCAGGTCCACTTGCTCGGACTTGCAAAAGGCTCTGGCAGTGATTTTGCATAGGGGACAAGAGGAAATCCGGTCAGTTTGCTTTCAAACGCTCACCTGAATCCTGGGCTGGACCTCAAACCGAATCAGTGCACCGCAAAACTACGGGATCCTACCAGCGGTTAGTTTTTTTCTGGCAACTGGGCATGACGAGCATCCCACGCAACCCCAAGTGGTCAAACATCTCTGAATGTGTGCGACAAACGTTCACCGTGGAAACGGCAACAGGAATGTGGAATCCAGGCCACCCAAATCAAAGTCAACTCCAAGCTGAATTCAGGGCGCAAAGCTGACCTGTTGAGTTGCTTGCCGAGAACGCTTTGGTCTGCGCGTGGAAAATGAGTGCCATTGACCCGTTTGCTATTCCAAGCTGGTCTTGACCAGGTCCCTCTGAGACGCTGGCTGAGCAAATGGCGCAACAGCAGCAAAGAAGCATGCATAGCTCCTTGGCGTTTGCTCGGCTGCGCGTTTCATTGGTGTTTGCTAGGCCGAATGTTGTCATACGCCATCGGATGTTTGCTCGAATGCACCCTTAGACCTTAGACAATTAGACCAAGTGGTGGACCAACTGCCCCTTGACAACCGTAATTAATGGGACAATGTTCCTTGACCACACTACATCCGTGCAACAACCATATTTCTTTCAAACCAGGCCAAGATTTGTGGACGTGTGCATTGTAACCAGGCTAAATAGATGCGACGCAACGGCCTTGCACCATGAAGAATATTGCACCTTGCAGGTAGGGAAGCTGACCCAAGGCAGTTGGAGATTGCTGAGCATGGTTCTGTGGGTTTGCTTTAGTAGGGCCATTAAATCGAATTGTGTCCTTGCTCTTCAAACAGCCAATGAGGGGACCCTCGGTCAAAGACAATTACCCCGCGGCTCGTCGATGTCTCAACCAGTGTCCATGGGAGGCCGGCGATTTTTGCGGGAGGCCTTCTTCATGGCTTAGGAACACAAGCGGGAGGCCGTTTCTGAAGGCCAGTTTTCCGCGACCCTATGGAAGCAAAAGCGCTCAGATCAGGAAGGGCGTCTTCACACACACGCAGACCAAAACAGAACTAGCAGCCCTGCTGCTGCGCAGTGGTTGCAAATCATATCAGAACTTCGAAGAACATGCCGGGGCAACTTTGTAGAATTTGCGTCACGCAAAGTCGTTTCTCTCATCCGTCATGGAACACTTGAAATTCGGTTGCCTCCTTAACCTGCAGAGCATAACTTCAGGCCAGGGGACTCCGGCTCAGTGTTACGGGATGACAGGGCAGGAACTTCACTAGAATAACAGCGAAAGGGCTAAGCCCCCGAACAGGCTGTGAGCAAAATGTGATTGCAAGGAACAAGGCTGCGAACAAGGCTGCGAAGAGAAGAGCGCAGCGAAGAGTAGACAAATGAGCGGAGAGAAGAGCAAAGAGAGGAGAGAACACTAGGCAGAGGAGCAGAGATGGGTGCGAAGCCAATGCTGGGGAGAAGGGCAAAAGAAGAGCGGAGCGAAGGGGGGGGGGGGGGCGGCGCAATTCCGAGGTGCCTAAAAGTCCTCTTCCGAAATCAAACTTCTCAATGCGCCACAGATTTGTGGTCACTGGTCCCACCACAGGAAGGGAGGCTCCAGCTATTAGCAAGCTAGCCTTCGCAATTGTTTCATGCTTAGATCAATAAGCAGACGCGGGCTCACTCCTGGTATTACGCTCAAACTTAGGCGTGAGCTGACCAACTGCGTGTGTTGATAAATTTGATGCTCCGAGGGGACTTCCCTACATTTTTATCCAGCAGAGACATCCATTGGACAATACATCCACTCGGTGTACATCAAGAGGATCCTACTGAAATACATCCAGGGCCACACGAGCACCGTTGCCGAAGTGGACACTTTTTTGAGGGATCAAGCACCCCCGATTTGGGACTCAATTGCGGTAGCGGAGCAGGTTTTCCAGAGGGTCAAACTCAAGATGTCATCCGGTGGAGAAGCCTTCATGGAGGCCGCACAGTCGGCACCACTGAAGAGACCAGCGTTTTATCGATGACCGCCAAACAGCCGCCATCGTACGACAGATTTTTCAGCTTCTCCAATCATCGACGACAGAACTCAGAGTTCCTCATGTTCACATCCAAATATGAGATCCGTCTCAGGATGATGAAGGCATCCTGGAACGACAAGATGCCCGCCTATACGGCACAGTCACCAGAGTGCCTTGCATCCGTCCAAGATGCAAACCAAAGAAGAATCGTCCAGCACCAGCAAACTGCCGGTACTAGGGAACTGCTTAAAACAGTACATCAACGGCACGCAAACACAGGGACGCATTTCCCTTCAATGACAATCTCATTGCACAATTCTTCATCATCCAGAGTGAACTTTCAGATCAGCAGAGAGAACGACTGATCAGCGCAATGTTTTTGAGGAACATCTCACTCCAGCACTACGCCTACGAGACGCTGAAGACACAGAAAATGACCTTGTCATGACGACCAGAACATCCATCCAAGATCCATCCATCCGACCTCCAGGAGGCAAACCGCAGCAAGACCTTCCAATGCTTTTGGGCTGAGGATGAAGAAGGACATGAAGGATTCATGGCAACGGAACAACAACAGACAACAGACAACAGACAACAGACAACATCATTTTTTGTACTTAACAGCGCCATGTTGTAGTAGTAGTTGTTGTTGATGATATGTTGCATGAAATGTTTGAGGCATTCTGTTGGGGACACTGGCCGTGTGTTCACTGCAAATTTAGCTTTGGCACTTAACAGTGCCATGTTGTGTTCATTGTTGGTGATGATTTGCATGGCTTGTTTGTGGCACGTTTAACCCAGTGCCATTGTTCTTCTGTTAGGGGCATTGGCCATTTTTCACGGCAAATTTATCTTTGGCACTTAACAGTGCCGTGTGTTTAAACTGAAGCATGTGATCCTGCTTGGCATTGTGATCCTTAACAGACATGACATGGGAACCAATCATGACAGGCATGAGGGATGACAAGCATTACTGACCTGAGTCTCCGGCTTGTGTGCGCATCTCCTGTTTGGTCAGAAGGGAGCTCTACCAGGCCCGTTCACTCGGGTCACCAGTTCTGGCGGCATGAGGGATGACAAGCGTTGCATGAGGACTGACCTGGATAGCCAGCTGGTCCGTGCATTTCCTGCCTGGTCAGAAGAAGGAGCTCTACAAGGCACTCTGGCGAGCCAGTGGTTTTCATTTTTTGGGAGATCTCAGAAGTTTACTTGACAGTAAATAGCACGGACGTTCAGTAGTCATATATATATATACACACATATATTCTAGAAATGCTAAGACCAGTTCAAGTGATTCCCCCGCGTGAGTCTGGTTAAGCTCGTGTGTGTGTGTGTATGAGTGGGTACAGTGTGTGAGCGTGCAGCCGTCAAAAAGCACGTGCGGGCACTTCACAGTGCCATGAAATCCCGGGCGCTTTGCAGTGTCCTAATTAAATTCCAAACTTAAGCCCGTGGTGACAGCCCAGGTCGGCGCAGCTAAGCTCCCTGCAAGATTCGGTCTGGGGCTTAGGCAGGGTCCAGAGCGTTTGAGCTTTCAGGCCAAAGGGGCCTTTTGAGATTTCAAGCTCAACCATGCATTGTCTTATCATTGCCTTGCCTGCAAAACGTGTTGCGAAAGCAAGAGGCAAGCAATTTTGCGTTGCTCAAAAGAGTATTTGGCGGGCTGAAGCTCAGCGATCAGCCCTTAAGAATCTTGCGAACGTTGTCCTTCTTCTTGGCGTTACCCAGGTCCTTCTTGATTTGGTTCTTCATGTGTGCCTCCTGGCCTCTGTTTTTTGATACCCACCTTGTCTGTGACCTTGGCATCCTTGTCGGTGGCCTTGTCTGTGATATTTGCCAGCGGTGGAAACAAACAGAAAATCCACAATGACGTTGCCAGACTGCATGAAGCCGCCCTCTTCCTTGGCGATCACCTTCTTTGAAGAAACAGACATTGCTTTGTGCGCAAGCGTGGTATCAGCTCAATGGTGCGGAGACACGCGTCCATGAATGTCAAGAGAGTGACAACCAATGACAGAGCGCACCAAACAAACTCAGAAACATTGAATTAGGCCCCCTCTTTCAATCAGCGTCCAGCTCGTTGGCAACTCGGTCTTGACAGTTTGCTGCGGCAGGAATGGAGGCACTGGAAAGTGCCTGGAACAGTTTGCTGGGCACTTAACAGTGCCCGTGCGCTGTGTGTACTTGTTTGGGTGGGGGTAGCGCAAAACAAGTTGGGCACTTGACAGTGCCTGTGTGTGATTTTTGTTGGTGGCAAATCAATGCGTTTCATGACCCCAACCCACCACCCTAAACAATAAGAAGATTGGCACTGGGAAGTGCCCCCCCCAAGCCTCAACTTGCCTGCCACGCACCCGAAAACCTAAGATTCCCCTTTGCTTTACGCGCTGCGCGAGGTCGAATCATGGACTGCGTGGACGTGGGCGGCGAGACGGCAAGACCGTGTGTTGCACGGGCCTTGGAGGGTAAGTGTTTTCGGCTTTTTCCCTGGTTGTTTGGCGGTAGTCCGCCTTTCGGTAGGCGGACTGCCGCCAAAAACGCAGGCCGCAGGACAAATCAGCATTTTTAAGCTAAATTACTTCGCGTCGAGCTCCACACTCACAAGCTTACGACTGTGAACACGGTCGTGTGAATTCAAGCATGGTTTTCGAGTGGCTTGGGGCCTATGACTGCTCAACAAGCTTTGCATTGAAAGCCTTATCCACCTGTCTGCGTGTCAAACTCCACTTGTCGGCAAGCCGATCTCGAGAACTCAACCATCGGTTCCGTTAACAAAAGCCAAGCCCCTTCCAAAAAGAAACCCGACGGGGGATTAAACGAAGTTGCTTATTCACAGCCCGAAGCAACACAAAAGCATCACGCTTTCCGAGCCTCAGGGTACACTCAATACACGAAGGCACCAACATGAAATGTAAACCCAACTGTGCGCCGGGCTGGACATTAAGCAAAGTGTTAAGCATCTTCTCTATGAATCTCAAACATGACTTACTAAGCTGCTGACGCCGAGCCCCTTGCTTTATACACTTGGCTCATGGCTCTACACACTTGGCGCTGTGCACCTGGCTTTATGCACTCACCTTGCTCTATGCACTTGGCTCTGTGCACATCTGCGCACCTTGGTCTATGCCCTTGGCTCTATGCGCGTGGCTCTGTGCAACCTGTGAGAGACTTGGCTCTACGCACTTGGCACTATACACTTGGCTGTGTGCACGTGCCTCTGCGTAACTTGGCTCCGTGCAACTTGGCTCCGTGCAACTTAGCTCTGTGCAACTTGGCTCTGTGCATTTTAGCCCTGTGCGACGTGGCTCTTTGAAACTTGGCCGTGTGATCACTCTGTGTAATGGTCCAAGGGCTCCGCACGGAAGAACCCTTCGTGATGCTTTCGGGGATACCCTTTTCAGAGGTGCGTCTGGCTGTTGGCGCCGCCCCAGATACAAAAACAGGACACTTGTTTTAAACTGTACGCCTGGCTGTTGGCGCCAAAGTTGCTAGCTATAATGCGGGCTCAGCTTTGTGGCTGAAAGCGACAGTTGCGGCGAGCCGATGCAAAACGGGCACGGCGCCGCTAACGCGAGATTAGGGCGGCTTAGGGTGGAATAACGGAATATACGGGTGGTTTAAGGATGGCTTCAGGTGCGTTTGGGGTGAGGTTAGCGTTTGTTTGGGGTCAGTTTAGGGTATGTTGAGGTCGGTGTAGGTGGCTTCCAGGTTGGTTTAGGGGTTAGATTGTTAGTTTAAGTTGGCTTAGGTTTTGTAGTTGGCGGCCCTCCCCAAAAAACGACCCTGTCCTGCAAGTAGCCCGTGGCCTGAAACTGAACCCGGGAGAAAACACTCATGAACAAATCAAGTCACACATTTCCGAGTTGCTCACTGTTGGGTTATGAAAGCACCAATCTGCTCCTGTCTGGGGCTGCAGTCTTCCAGGAAGAGGCGGAAGTCTGCGGGTAGCTTCTTCCCCGGAAAACCGCCCAACAAGGTGTTCCCTGGATTCAATACTTTTGGCCAGTTCTTTGTCGGCCAAACCAAACTACTACATTCCCCACTCATCGGAACCTCAAACACCCCAAAGAAAAAGGGCCGATGCAACCTTCCACATTCTGGTCAGATGGGGTTGGGGCCTGTTCGGGATGTGCTTTTGAAGCAACATTGCAAGGGAAAGTCCCACTTTTCGGGCTTCTTCGAAAGATTGCGCAGGGAGAAAGAAGTGGGAACTGAGTAAGTCCAGAGAGGCAATGGCTTCGATTTGGGCTTCGAGTCTCTGGGCGGAAGGCCCTTCCCACAACCCTCCCCCCACAAAGATGTTGGTCGTATGTTCTTTGTCTGGGCCTTTCTCCGCCATCCTCAGCGCTCGACAAGCTCGAAAACAGATGGACTAATACAAGCGAGCAAACAACTCACCAGGATGAAAGCCAAGACGCTTCGTCGCCCTTTGTGCCCGTAAACTCCTGATGCGTTCAGCTGCACCCAAGCAGCGCGAGAAAGATGAGGGAGGTGTGAGTTGTTTGGTCCATGCATCCAAGGACAAACTCCCTTGGAAATTCTCAAAACATGGGCATATAATCCCTGTGCGCAGCGCGTCTGGGCAAAGCTCCTCAGTGGCCAAGAAAATTGCAAGCGTAACAAATGCAGTGCTGCAAGTGTCACAAAATCACAACAGATCCCACTGACGCACCAAATTGGTCCGCGTCGGCTTGCTTGCTAGCGCACTTGGCAACCAATCCTTGCAAGTTCCTCGCGCTGACCGCCGCACCCTCGCGATTTAGCACTGCTTGAACCATGACACGTCGCTCCATTGGTCGCGCTTGCTTTATGGCGGCGGCAGCAGCAACGGCAACGGGCAGCAGCAGCGGCAAGCAGCAAGCAGCAACAGCAGCTGTCACAATGTTAGCCGCGACCATCCACTATTCCGACCATGAGTTGCGTGCTGTCAATAGTAGTGCTAGCAACGGACTGCTGCTGCTGCCCTACCACTGCATCTTTTTTTCCTTTGCTTCTGCTGCTGCTGCAACTACTAGTTTGCCTTTGCAAGCGCCCGGGTCTTCTCAATTCATCCAGCCGCAGGCCACCCTTGCGTCTGCATCTGTTTGCCGATTTGCCCGGTTTGGTGGGGCCGCTCTCCCGAGCAGCGCCTTGCAAAGAATTCTCAAAGGGCTTAACAACAAGAGGCGCCATCATGCCTGCGGCAGGACACTGAAGGTGCGCCGCCCTGAGATGGCAGCAAGGGCAAGGCTTCCAAAGCTGTCCGACAAGAACATGCCCAAGCCCAGGGTGCATTCTCCCTTGCCCCATACGAGGCCCACACGCTTTCTCTTGCTCCAAACGAGGTCTGCATGAGATCCGAGGATACAACGAATCAATGCTGCTCCTGCTGCTGCTGCTGCTGCTGCTGCTGCTGCTGCTGCTGCTGCTGCTGCTGCTGCTGCTGCTGCTGCTATCGAACCTAAGGGCCAGTAGCAATGCTGTCGCTTCTATGCATTCTACAGAAACGTCTAGCGACTCAAGTTTGGCTTCCAACCCACAGCCACACATTGACATGATGATCGCTTCGCATATACATGTTTATACAAAACAACAGTCACCAACCTTCTGCAGCAGCCTGGCGAACTACAAATTTATCTTCTGCCTTCGAGGGGGAAAGCAACAGCCCCCCTGACAGAAAGAAGAAGAGACAAACAACAAAACATATCCTGACTTACTCTTTCCTACGTTCTTCCTTGAATGGGTTTTCTCCAGCCGCCAGGGCCAAAATCTGTGCTAGCTACTGTAGGGAGAGCTGTCGAAAGTTAGTTGCGCGGACCGCTCTTACAGACGCGGTTTCATTGAAAAAACGGTTTTCTTGTCATAAAAGCAAGGTCGCGCGGTTCGTTCCAACCTCTTGCGCCCTCCTCGTGAATGGCCTGATAGAGGCCGGCAGCACGCTCGCTCATGCCAAAGAACTTCGCCACATCGGCCTAGAATCCATGGGCCGCCAATCCGTGTTGAGTTGGAAAGGGCTCAGGCAACGCCAGGGCCACATGGGCGCGATTCTTTTTTCAGGGTACCATGTTTTGGGTGGGTTTAATGGGCTCCATTTCAAGACACACGCACATGCGAACAGCACCTGCTTGCCAAGGCAAGGGGAACTAAAGCAGCATAGCTTTCTCGCCTCAATTAGCGTTGCTCAATTTTGCAAAATGCGACAGGTCGTTGCACTCAAAGCCTTGTGTTGTTCCCTCCTGTGATGCAACAAAGCAGCATGTTCTTCCAATACCCCCCGTACTGGCGGGGTCTGATTTTACTTCGGAAACCAATCAGGGTCACTTACGGGGGGGGACCTTAGTAATTAACTTGGTACTGAAGAGTCCCAATTACTTCGGTTCAGGCTCATGTTGACTCATGTCATAAAACTACCACTAAGAGATATAGCCCCGGAAAGACACTATTCGCCCGGTTTGTGCCCACGGGGGATCCGCCATGACCCTCACACATTGCAATTTCTGAAAAAGGAGTTTAGACTAAATCGGGTCAGTTTTAGAATTGTGCTCGTTTCGGTCACAAATTGGTTTAGAATTGGTCTAGTGTTGGCTCTGAAGTGTCCCATAGAAACGGGGTCATACGGGGTCGGCAGCGAACTTCCTGGTTTTGGTATTGTCTGGTTCTAATTTGCTGATGATGGTTTCTTTCAAACTTCCTGTAAACAACCAACAGAGGGGGCGCCCTCAAAAAGAGAACGCACCCAAATGGACTGAAGGCCAATAGTTCTGACGGAGGGGCCGATGGCAGACCAAGGCATCCGGTGTATTGTTCAAGGAAACCAACAAGGTTGAACGAGTGACCTTGAACCAAACGTATGTTTGTGCTTCTTGCGTGTTTCAAGCAAGCAGGAAACCAACCAGGTTGTTTGGCGGCTTGCGTGTTCCAAGGAAAACCAGAAGGTTCATCAAGCGCTTTGTTTGGCGCTTTGATCTATTTTGACACACACACACACATGCACCCCATGTCTTTTGAAGTTTGAGTCCGTCTTAAAGGGTGTCCCCCAAAATTATTGGTGTCCTTTTGGCGTCCCTCAAACATCAACCACAAGGGGGGCCGAATCGCATTTGAGCAGGTGCATTTCAGAAGTGGCTCTACCCCAACACGCCCACCGCCCACCCACCCAAATCGGTTGCGTTGAAGGCGGGCAGCTAAGCAGGCCCCCCCCCAAAAAAAAGAAGAGTTCACAGGTTGGGGAGAGGGCCTATAGTGTATTTCGTGCGGACGCTTTTGCGACGGAAGACGTTTTCCGAGGCGCAGTTGTCCCGGCAAGGACCTCCTGAACAAGCGTGGCATCCAAGACCAGGTCGGCAGCGTCCAAGACCGCACGCGGCATTGAGAATGAATCTACCTTGGGAGCTGGACATTGCCCCGGAAAAGAGGGACAGCCCCCAGACAGAACAAGTTTAGAAGCCGCCTTTTGACGTTTGGTTCTACCAGCATGGCTGTTAAAAGTTCTATATATATATATGTGTTTTGCTGGGGGACCCTGACAAGGTACGGTCAATTGAAGCAAAAAGCTATGCCCAATAAGTAGCCTGCCTAAGGAGCCATTCACCCCAATTGAACCAAGTGGAGGGTTGTCCACAAGAAAGGCTTTTAATTGGCCGCGCCCGTTTAAATGTCACGAAAGGGTCCAAACAAACCCAGTCCCCTTTCCTCCTGGGAAAGATTCCTTTTTGGACGCAAATAGTTTTTCCTCTAGGTTCGGCGGGCACTGAAATGCCTTGTTTAAGCGTATGGTCTAGCAAAATGCAACTGTTTTACACCAGCACCGACCAGCATCGTTTTGGCACGTGTTCAACACCCCCGGCATCACCAGAGCTAGGCTGAGTTTTGGGTGGGTTCAGTTCAAGGTTTGCTTAGGGTGGGTTTGGGTCACAAAGAAACGAAACCGAGGTCCCTAGACGAGCTTGGACAAACTGCCCATGGCCTTTGAGTGCTGTTGTGGGGAAGAAACAAAAATACATAGACAGGGACTGGTGTTGAAACAGTCCCTGGCTCCGAATGGGTAAACACCCGAAGCTGGGGTGGTCCTTCGCAGGCAAGTGGCAACAGTCATCTCAGGATTAAGATTAAGATGATCTGAAGGTGAAATCAAAGAGCAACCAAGCCAAAAAGAGAATACATCGGCGAACCTTCACTCCAAAGAAAAACCCTGAGAAAATGATCATAGCCAAATAGAATGTTCATCGTCTCTGCGGAATCTCCGTAGGCCTCGTTGCAAAAAGACATATTTCTGTCTGCTGACCCTGAAAGTCTTTCTGCAGGCCAGGTGCTCGGAGGACAACGGGATGTGATGATTTGACTGGAGCCAGAAGAGCTCACGGAAGGCAACCGACCATTTCTGCCATTTCAATTATCGTGCCGTGACAAACGAACCAAGGTGAGCACCAAAGAAAACACACACCCACACACACACAAATTCCAGCACACAAAGCCACATGTCGACGGGAACCCCAACTCAAGCAAGCCGCTGGAGCCTTGCTTGACTGGGCGCAAGCTTACGATCCTGCTTTCAACAGGATACAAACGATCACCCAATCAGTGCTAGGCACTCAGCCCAAGCCCAAGTTGTGTCTCCTACATGCGTGGATTGCAATGGCCACGAAAATCGCGCATCCTTTCAGGCGCATTGGGCTCGCATGTGAGATGTCTCCGCTTCAGCTACCTGAGACGCGGCCTAGCCTCCCAATGTCTCCGGATCTCCGCCGAGCTTGGACGTCCACCGGCCCTGTTGTGAGGGTCAAAGGGTTGGGCCCGTTTGCAAGTAGTTTGCCTTGGTCGGCAATTGAAGTTTGGCAAGGATCTTGGGTGGCAATGTTCTGTAAAGAATGATGAGAAAGAGCAGAAGCACAGCTTGCTGTTGAAAGGGAACTCAGGAGGCAGCAAGTTCTCTTCGCTTGTCTTTGCTTTTGCGGCTGGTGGGCATAGGGCACCCGTTTGGTTGGCAAAGGCTTTCAAAAGAACACCAATCCGTTTAGGCTTTAGGCCACTATTTCAAGAAACATCCAAACGGAGGTTTGCCAAGCATGGGGAGCGCGCTTTGTAGTGCTTCATATGGAAGCTTAGGCGCAGTTTGAGTTTGGGCGCTTTGAGCTAGGTTTGCATTGAAGAAACGAACCCTACCAAATACAATGATGGCGCACATTCACAAACTCGTCATGTTGTAGTGTTGCCTGCGCACAAAAACATAAAACACAACCGCAACAACGTACAACACATCCGGTCAGGGCACTGGTCTTCTGGTGTCACGCATGTGGTGTCATCCATCCGTCCGCCAAACAGCTTCAACCAAGCCCAAGCTCTACAAAATGCCAAAGTTGCCAAACCTGATCTCTCCCAAATATCCAAGCACAAACCCTCAACATATGTGAGGAACTATCGAATGGGATACATGATTCAGGTGCTTGAGTAGCACTTAGAGAAGTTGGACACGCCACACACACACCGCATCTGACCAGCATCATCAGCTTGCATTTATGTCGCCTTCTCCAGCCAAACGCATGGGCATGGGTCACAATAAAACCACCAGGGGACCGCAGGTTTTAGTCCTTCTTTCCATTTACCAGGGTTCCATTTGGGGTACCTATTCTTGACCCACAGCCACATCAGCTTACATTTTGCAACCGTCCTTGACCGCATTCGCCACTGGTAGACCTAAGCCCGCGTGCCTTCAAAAGCCTGTGCGCGTGCGCCTTGCTTTGGCGAACCCCCCGCCCAGCTTCCCAGAACAGTCCTTGAACATGTCAATCACAGTTCTTTGTCTTTCGGGGGGAGGAGAAGGGGTAAGTTTCCCCCCAACAAAGCGGAAACATACCTGTGAGGTCCGCATGGTCCGCTAACATTACCCCCCTTTTGTTCTGAACCTTAAGGGGTCGGGATCTTTTTTGGCTGGATGAAATCGACAGGGAAAAATCAGTGGGGACAACTCGCAGAAAAAAACCAACCGCGAGTAAACATGTTGAAGCTTTCACCTAGAGCATGCCCAACTTGCAGGCTTGCCAATGCAGGCTAGGCGCTCAGAAAGACAACGCGTGAAGAGATCAGCGCGCTTGGCCCGCTGAAGGCAACAGCTGCGGATCAAGCCATGTGCATGGTGACCTTCACCAGCCCGTTTGCAGCAACAAACATCCTCCACCCAAGCAACCAACCACCCAATCAAGCAAGCAAGCATCCAATCATCCAACCAACCATCCGCAGAAGGAGCCAAGCAACCCAGCAGCCAAGCAGCCAGCTAGTCAAGGGGGGTCGAAGCCAGTGTAGGATCTACAGGCTCAAGCGTATGCCCCTAAAATGGTGCGCTTGAAGACAGAGAGAGAGAGAGAAACAAAAACGCTGAGCAACAGCCTGGGAGCCGCCAAAGTTTCTAGTGGCTTCCCCATGCTCCCCCACATCTTGCTTGCGGGCGTCGGATTTCTATTTATTTGAGGTGGACATCAGCCCTGCTGTGAGTGAAAGTATCCAGGAATGAACGTATGCCAGTGCTGACTCACAGCCTGAGAACCACTTGTGCCCTAACACATTGCCCAAGAAGGCTCCAGAATCTTGCAATGAATAGGCAGGAAGCCTCCTCAGGACCTTCATCCATGATGAGCAAATTCCATTCACAGGTTTGGAATTGGTTGAGATCTGGCTGACTCTCTTTCCAGACCTTTGGCAATGGATAAAAGCCATGCGGGGTCAGTCTAAAGTCATACAGCAGGACTCCACCACGGTGCTTTTTGTCCGCGGGCCTTTCTGCTTTGCGCGCGCAGGCCCTCACTCGGCACAACAGGATCGTCACATCAGCCTTGGCCAAAGACTGCCTCCATGTGCGATAGTCCCCTCGAAAAAATATGTCAAGTTTCCTTTTTTTTCAAACAAGGAACAAGGGAGCTGAAACCAAATTCTTGAGCAAATTGAAGCATGAGAGCGAACAACCCTTTACGCCGGGAATGGCGTCTCCGTGACTAAAGCCTTGAGCATCTCTGCAGCAACGGTCAACCATTCAGGACTACCGTGAAATCGGAGACGAACCATCAGTTTGCGCAACGCATCAAGAGCGGCGCCAATCGATTCTGTATTGATCTGGACTTAGGGCGACTTGGGAGAAAACCAAAGCACTCCCCAAGCCGCAGGGGCAGCTTTGTGCCCCTGAGAGGCAAGCAAGTAAGGCGCCACATTGATGAGAGGCTGGTTCCCAAGCACAAGAAGCGAGAGCGAGTTCAAATACCCCACCTTAGCGGCTCTTCTTGGACTCCTCTGGAGTGATGAAGTACGTGTTCGCCTGACGTCTTTGCTGCTTGCAGCCCTTGGTCAAATGAGCAGCACCACTGCAAACGCTAAACTGATGACCGCCTGGCCACTACCAGTCGATGATAACAGTCACATTTTGGACCCATCACTAAAGTTGAGCTGGGCAAAGGGGGGCTGGCGGTCGATTTCACACTCAGTTCCCCAAAAACAACTGGTGAATACAAGGTCAACCACCTTGTGGAGCCACTAAGCATAGAAGCTGAAAGGCTGCGGGAGCAAAGGGAAAACCCCGCGACTGGAAAGTGAGAGGCTTTCCCAAGGCTGACTTCGACAAATCGCCGGATCGACAGGCAGCCAAGAACCAGCGGTTTGCCCCCGTGCCTGCCCCGTAAAGGTGGGCTGGGGCATGTTCACTTCCACAGTGTCGTTGGTGGCGAGGAGCCAATCTTTGAGCCCTGCGAGAAACGGACCCACTGAATGTGTCTTTCTCCGAGGCTGAGGATACTTTCCTTTTTTGTGGCTTGGGAACCAATAGGACAACCAGCCATTTGGAGGTCCCCTAAAAAACAAACACACACACACATGCACACACATGCACACACATGCACACACATACACCCACACCCACACCCACACCCACACCCACACCCACACCCACACCCACACCCACACCCACACCCACACCCACACCCACACCCACACCCACACCCACACCCACACCCACACCCACACCCACACCCACACCCACACCCCACACCCCACACCCCACACCCCACACCCCACACCCCACACCCCACACCCCACACCCCACACCCACACCCCACACCCCACACCCCACACCGCACCCGCACCCGCCCCGCACCCGCACCCGCACCCGCACCCGCAACCCGCACCCGCACCCGCCCGCCGCCCGCGCACCGCACCCGCACTACGCACCCGCACCCCCGCACCCGCACCCGCACCCGGCACCCGGCACCCGCACCCGCACCCGCACCCGACCCCGCACCAGCACCCGCACCCGCACCCGCACACCGCACCCGCACCCGCACCCGCACCCGCACCCGCACCCGCACCCGCACCCGCACCCGCACCCGCACCCGCACCCGCACCCGCACCCGCACCCGCACCCGCACCCGCACCCGCACCCGCACCCGCACCCGCACCCGCACCCGCACCCGCACCCGCACCCGCACCCGCACCCGCACCCGCACCCGCACCCGCACCCGCACGCACACACACACACACACACACACACACTATGGGCCGGTGCAAACCTTTAGTGGATTGCGTGCCACAGAGAGGAGCTCCTCTCCCGCAAAGGGGTCTTTTGCTCTGGCAAGTGCCAGCTGCACGTTCCGACGGGCGAACCATTAGAATGTTGCTGAACCTTGCGCCTGACTTCAACTGGAGCAGTGCTCGTCTTTTCGTCTGAGGTACTAGCACAAATTGCATATCCATTCAAATACGTAGAAAGAACAAGGCAAAACGTAAGTTGAACATGAAGTTCGATCTCCTTCGCACTTGTTTGCATTGATGGAACCTCCTGCTGATATGCAAATGGTTTGGTACCTGCGTCTGACGTTCGTTGGATTCGTCTTTGACACAGCTCGCATTTCACTCTTCTTGTAGTGCATGCCATAGGTGTCCATCTGAGATTCAACTTGAGTGACCGGGGGGAGGGGGGGTTAAATATGGGGTCGGAACAAATACACAATATCCATCCCCTGTTTAAGGGAGAAACAAACAAACCAACACAAACATGGACCCATAGTATGCAAACACCTGGTACTGCTCATGTTGCTGGACAGGCGTGTCACACGCTGGTCCAAACGTTGGTACGTCACGGTTGGCATGTCGAGCTGGGCAATTTTAACATTTAAGAGGTGGCGTAATGACATAAACTACTCAAAGGAGAGGGAAACACAGTTTTGTCAACAACGGGGGAACCCGGGACCTTAAAAGGAACGAACCCCTCCGTGACTGCGACCTCTCCCTTAACCTTGGGGTTAGCGCGATGCCACGCGCTGTTTTCAGCACTTGAGCCAAAGCAGTGATTGGATCATGCTTTGGCAACCACTTGAATGTACAACATGCAACTGACTACATGAGAACCTACCTCATGTACCTCTGGGCCATAAATGTCATCGTGATAATTGACTCCCCCCTCATTGACGGCACTGAGGGAGTGTCTTGGGCGCATTACCACGCCAACTTGAAGTCAAGTTTACACCACAAAGACTGACACAAGTTATTCAAGCATCACCCAGGCACTTTGCACACTTTGGAAATTTGCGGACATGCTGCAGCGCACTAGGCAGCTGCTTTAGCGGCTCTACTTTCACGAACGTCTTCAAGCTTCTCTGGAAGGTCAACACGAATGCCGAGCAACCGGATGGCATGGTCCCACTTGTTGGGTGGAAGTGCTTTCGTGAAGATGTCCGCTGACTGCATGTCGGTTTGGACGTATTCTATCGAGATGTGTTCGCTTTCAAGCTGCTCTGCGATGCACGCGAGATTCACCTTGTGTGTTCGCTGGACACAGCGTAGCTTGGATGAGAAACCTTTCCTTGCTACGAGGATAGTCGCCTGGTTGTCCTCGTGGATCTTGAGATGGAATGGTCGGTCCAAGATCAGCTCCCACAAGCTTAGCGCAGGGAGCGCTTCCTGATAAAGGGAGTATGCGAGAGATACAATCTCCGCCTCGGTCGTTGATCGAGAGACCGATGTCTGCCTTTTGGATACCCACGCAAGCGGAAAATGCGTGTGCGGACCACTCAAAATCAAGAATCCTCCGGACGTGGATTTTGCATCTCGCTCTCCGGCGAAATCGGCGTCTACATAAAGAGACAGATGCAAATCCTCAGTCGAATCTTGAACTGTGCCTACTAGCGTGCTGTTGACCGTGCTGTTTATGTAGCAAACAAGCCTATGTAGCTGCTTATCGCAGTTTCTAGACCATTTTTGAACAAATGAGGCAAGGTCGCCAATGGGCTTGACCAGGTCTGGGCGTGCCAAACGGCCGAGCCATAAGGCTTTCATCAACACGCGGCAAGCGGCGAAGCCGAGCTCACCCTCCAAGGCGTCATCTGCAGGATCGAGGGATCCAGCGGGACAGAATGGAGTGGTGGCATCGCGCAGCTTTTCACTTTTCAGCTGTGCAACCTCAAGATATAATGCCACCGTTTGACGGGCATAATCCCGCATGTCGAACGCCATGCCCCCTTTCAATCTGCCCATTGCGGCATTAAGATCGGGTTCAGTTGGGTCCTTTGGAGCATCTATCAAAAGGTGATTCCTGCCTAGCACCCGGTATATGTCTTCTGGGGGTTCTATATCAACCAGTCTTGTTAACTTTTCCCAGAAGTCTTTATGAAGGTGGCTGGGGCCGGCCAACGTCAAGTCGTCGACGTATGTCGAGAGAAGTAACCCGGACTCCTTGAACCAGAAGTTTCCAGGAAACTCTGCGACCTCACGCCCTCCAAGTTCACTAATGAACCCTTTGAGGTGTGCCTCCCAGAGTCCGCCAGCGTCAGGATGCCCATAAAGAGCTTTAACGAGCAAAACCACAGGTTTCACGAAACGCTCGCGCCACCACCTTGGCCGGAGCTCAGGCGGGAGTGTGATCCAAGTTTGGTACTTGGACTTCAGCAGTGCTTGCACATAAGCCTTTATAGCGTCCGCTGTTGTGGTGGAATTCCCTGGCAGGGATCCATAAGCGAGACAGTTATTAAGACCTTGTACGCTCGTGGGATTTGCTCCCAACTCTTGGTAGACAGCTGCTGCGCCATGTTCGTCTTTCGCACAGTCTCCGCGATACACAATCCTACCTTTCATCTTCTGAAGGTGTTTCGCGAGTTCGGCGAACTTGACGGATGCTAGCGACATCAACTGCCCGAAATGGACTTTTATACTGGATCGTCGCGCCTCAGCAGCGACTTGATCATACTCTCGGACTGAATTTAGATCCCAAGCACCGGCTTTCTCCAGGCCTGTGGCTTCAAGTCGAACGGCTTCAAGAGCTTCCGGGGAAGCCAACATTTCGGCACGTGACAAGAGTCTGGTCACCATTGCGGTGATCTCAGGATCCTTCTTCTCTGTGACTTGTCCTAGGGAATGTGCGATGAGATTTTCAACATCAAGAACTTGCTCAAGAATGTTGTGACACTTTTCATCTGACTCAACAGCAACACCTATATCTTCCAAACCGGAGAGAGGGGATATGTGCTTCAACTGCTGTTCACGTTCCCGGTGATCGAGAGGCAATGGCACTTGGACAGGCATCGCAGGCACAACGGGTTGAACTGTCGGATACAGCGCACGGGCAACTGTGAGACACATGCCTTCGGGGTAGAAAGCGGTCTTTGCGGTCTTGTTACCTGCTGCAAGCGAATGCTTATACCCTTTTTCGTGCGGACACTTGAATGCACCTAGTGCGAATGCGAGTGTGCTATTGCTGGTCATGACTTTCCATGGCTTCTTGATGGGATAGCCATTGCTGTCCTTCAGGCCTAGGGCGCAACCATGGAAGGTCGCTGGGGTGAAGACGTGTGCATATTCTCTAAAGAATGCAGAAACATCATCCCTAGCCCAGCTGTCGCAATCCCTTGGCCATTCAAACGAAACACTACCCCCCTGATGAAGGACAGTCTCTGCGTGACGTCTGAATCTGGAGAACAACTCTCTCGACTCTTTAACCTTTTGCTTCAGTTTCTTTTTGAACTGGCTTCCTAACTTGGCCTTATTAAGGCGTTGCCATGCTGAACCTGATGTGCAGGGAATTGCGGCCCAGAGATTGGGTTTATCACAACCTCCAATCTGCGACTGCAACTGGATTTCTCCTTCATCTGTGCTGAGGTCGATAAACTCTTTAGCCAGCCTAACATGAGGTATGCCAAGACCTTCAAACACGCGACCCATGTTGGACTCTGGTGAACATGCGTATTCGAACATCACAGGCAACTTGTCAATACGTGCCTGTTTCTTGCGGGCACGATGATTTCCAACCTCAAACTGCTTGCGCTGTGGAGCTTCAACCTCTGCGCTGCATGGCATGCCAAAAACTGGCAATGTGTTCGGACGACCGTTCTTTGACGCATCGGTGAGAGGTGTCGGCGGTACGGAGTCTAACATCACGGCTGCACCTGTGGTGATAACACAATCGGACTGAATGGGCTTTAACTTGAACACTGTGAACCCGGTCCATGCATCTCCAAGTGAGCGATTGGGTCGGCTACCAAACCAACCATCATGGATGTTGTCTGCTTTGCCCCCCTGAAACACGGCACGAGTGGTGCGAGCTGCAGTAAATCTTTCTGGGGAAACGGGGCAATCCTCGACCTCTTTTGGGGTAAAGAGATTTTGCCTTGGCATGATATGGTATCGGACCAAACAGTTGGCATTTTCTTTGAACACCCAAAAATCCTCACCTTGCGATGTAGCGGCTGTCGCTGGCGCG